GAGGGAGGGGGGGGGGGATTGGGGGTGGTGGAGATGGGTCGTGGAAGTGGTGCCATTGAATACAATGCACCACCCCAAAACGCGGCGCAAAGTTTTACACCGATCGCGGTGCGTTCCAGCAGCTGCCACTCTGGAACGCACATGCTTTCGGTGTGAACAAGGCCTAAAGCAAAGGATGTTTCTGAAATGTGTAATCACAAAAAAACAAAAAACAACTTGATCTAATATTTACTCACGCAAAAAACAGAGCAGGTAGTTTGCAGATTTTGTTTAGTTCTTCAACAAGCTGCGGAAAATATTCTTTGGTGTCCAGCTCTTCAGTTGGTTCATTTGGTTTAAGGGTCTCCAGTACCTCTGAAACCTTTGAAAAAAATGTCAGAGTGGTCATTGATGTTTCAGTGTGATTATATGCATAAGGCCAACGCATAAAAAATTGGAGAAAATGAAATCATTGTTATTTCCCATAAACACCAGTAAGATTTCATGATTAAACCAAGTATTGCATGATAATGAGAAATATAATATTATTGGTTGACCAGTATTTAAATTGATCTGCCAGTTTGGGTAAAAACTCAGGTACATCAGGGTGTTGAAATGCTGAAAGGTTTAATAATTTAGAATAATGCAGCAATAATGTATTAATTGATATTCAAATGAACATGTGCACAAAACATGTCAAACTTTCATTAAAAAATAATTAGAGTGAAAATAAACATGTTATAATTCATGCTTTAACAACCGTAATACCAGCATGTTATACCCCCTTCATTTACTGGCATTTTTTTAGTTTTAAGTGCTGTGATAGTTTTACTGACAATTACTCGATCATGCCATAGTGTACTCAAATTAATTGTATATAATTTTCTTTTCTGACAGATGGAGCTTTCTTTTGATGGTATTTAATACCCACTGAGTTTTAATTTTTTACTTTATAAAGGAAAAAAGAAAATGTTGACATGTACATGATGGATGTGGTGTATAAGGATTGTATTAGGGGAGTCATATTCACACAGGAACAGGCAAGGGGGGGTTGGCTCAGACACCAGTAGTTAAAGTTATGAACTGGCACCTTATGGATCCTACTGTCCAGAAATACTGCACATCTTTCCGCCTTGAAGGGACCCTGCGCGGCCCCGAAACGTCGGCTTTGTTGATCATTGTGACACAATCGTCCGTTAAAAAGGACTAATCTATTTAAATTATCTCGAGTGCTGGTGACCTGTCTTTCTACTTTGTATTTTGCACGGTGCCATCCGTGGCAGTTACTACAAGCACCATCGTTCTTACTGGCCGGGACTACTGTAAGGTGTGCGGAGAGCACCCTCACCAACTGAAACCTTTACACACCCAAACAATAGCTCCCACCACATGTTTTAACGGAAACATGCAACGTTCCCAGCAAATGCTGTGACCATTCAAAAAACGTAAACAATGCCTGTGATGGCTTTGTCCCTTCAGACAGGAATATGACAGGTTTTACAATACGATAGCGCTCTTCACAGAGACATGGATACTTTAATTTCTTATTTAGAGCATAGAGATCAGCTTAATGATTTTAAAAGAATGCGTTTAATAAAAGAAACAGTGCAGGAAAATTGTACAGAAAAAAAGATGTTACAAAAGAGAAAAATATATTATCAGTAAGAAATTAAAGGGAATACAAAATGAGAGTACTTAACAAGTCCTGGTTTGTGTGAGTTCTAGACAATGAAAGCGAAGAAAGGTATGGATAGGGCTCTTACTCAAGTAAGGTTTTTAACCTCCCTGGCGGTACGATTATTTCCTTTTTTTCTTGTTTTGAATTCACGCCGGTTCCGGCCCCTTGCGATGCGGACGCTCGCAAGAGACAGAACCCGTAAAAGACAGATGCCGGCATCAACCGGAGGACACAGCGCGGCTCGATGGGCAAGGTAATAATATTATTTTAGATTGGAACTTCAGTTTATTAGCCTAAGATACTAGGCATTCCTTTGTTATCAGACCAGGCGATCTGTAGGAGATGCGCTGAATTGGTCAATTGTGCTGGCTGTTGACTTTTCATTAAGACGGTTACCAATAAACAGCTAGACCAGGGCCAATTCATGCCAGCCATAAAGGGAGGCCTGAATACACAACTCTGTCATCCTGTCATTTGGGTAAAGCTCTGCAGACTCTCCTAAAATTCACACCTATTTGATGGGTCATCTGATTTACTTCTATCTAGAAGTGATACATTTCAATAAGTTGAATGAGATGAAGATGGAATGTTCCAATATTGAGATGCACAGATCTCATTACCATCACACACTGCATTTTGAGACGTAAAACTGCATTGGATTCAACCTCTGTGAAAATTATTGGAAAGTTGAGCTGTCCATGGATTGTGCTGGTTCAGCAGGTGATCATATTGCCCAGACAGATCAAGATCTAGAGGTGTATCAATGCATAAGGTGCCATTTGAAACAGAAAACATTTTTACTGATGTGTTTAGCTGCAAAATCATGCAAGGAAGTGTAATTTATCAACTGGAGACCAGCTGGGGGGGCATTTTTTTTAACCACTAAAACACAGAGGGCTGCAAAGAATGAACAACACTGTTATATGCAATCCATAAACACCAGTTTGAGATGCCAGATATTGTGACTAAAACTGTTCCACACTGTAGGGACTGTTGTATGCTAAATCAAGTGCAATAAAATGATTGATAGAACTTACCTGTGCACAATGTCCTTGTTCAATCCAGTCAACTAATTCACTCTTAAGGGCCTCCTGATATTTTCTTACATCATCCTTGGTAATTAATATATTGTCCTTCAGGTGTATATTCTCTTTTGGATCTAAAGTCTTAATTAAACAAATAATTAGCAAAGTTAGTGTATATTTGAGACTTCTGGAATACATACCTGTGAAATATAAAATTAATTATTTTGTTTTGTGGCTAATGTGATAAACTACAGAAAGAAAAATCTGTTTAATATGTGATAAATGACATAGAGGTCTCCTGAAGCATCAAATAGATTGAGCCACTATCTGAGACAATAAATAACATGGAAGTAACAAGACAATGGAACATTTTTTGGAGGAAACATCTAGCCAAAGTAGGTTTTTCAAGGAAGACTTTTCACAGGGATGCTATGCGCAGTTTTGGAAAAACAATTCAGAACCATTATGTGCTTTTTTAGGCTGCATTCACATGGGGTGTTCAGGGATTCCTGCGGCAAGAACATATGGATTCTTGCCACAGGAATCCCTGGTGTCCCCTTTCAGATGTGGCCACTGTACCTGTTCAAGTTAATGACAGGGTGACAGCAGCCGCTTCTGTCAGAGGCAGTCTGCATGCAATCGTACATGGTACAATTACAAGCGGTTTGGGATAGATAAATGTCCCTGGACACAGGATAAATGCATCAATCATCTATCCCAAACCTCATGTAATCGTACGAGTACATGCAGACTGCTGCTGACAGATGTGGCTGCTGTCACCCAGTCATTAACTTGAACAGGAAGAGTGGTTGCATCTGAAAGAGGACACCTGGGATTCATGCCACAAGAATCCCTGTGAATAGGGCCCAAGGATTGTGTTTACAAAATAAGATCAAAGCAAACCTTACCATTCAAAACACTTGTAGAGCAAAAATAGCATCTATCATATTTATAAATGCCCCAGGACACAGGAAACTCGGGGCATTCCGATAAGCAAATATAATTTTTTATTCACAGTCAATGGCTGACCTGTCCCTTCTGTCACCTGAACCTAGCTATTAATTCTTGCATATGATAGCAGGCTCAAGACCACTACGTAGGCACAGGAAGCAAGGAGAGCATCCAATTGCTGAGAGCAGTCAAATAAAATTAAAAACAACATGCAGGAGATTTTAAAAGATTAAAAGAGGAATGGAGGAATAAGCAAAAAAAAAAAACTGGAACATGTCCATTCTGATCTACCAAAAGAACCAAGTGGATCACAGAGCCCCAGAAGTTTCAGGACCAAAGAAGAGCCAGATGGAAATAATCGGTAGACACAGAAATCTGATGTAGTGTAAAAGAAAACTGCTGGAACTAAGGGACATTTCTGCTTTGTTATCTTTGACACACAACGTGTAAATGGCGAGTGAGACTTTTGGGAAGCTTGATGTGTTTTCTACATCGCATGTCTACAAAATAGTATTCACTGGCTGCCCAGTTGCTACCGACCCTTACCGCATATCTGGTTTAATCATCCTGACCCCCAAATAGTAAACACTAATGGTCCTACTATTACTGACACTTACCTCCCTTCAGGAATTCTTACATTTTGGAGTTTTTTTTTTTTTTACTAATTTGCCATTTTTTTTAAATATTGTTCTTCTCTTCCAAAAGAAATGTATTAAGGTTGAATTGAGCAATTTATTTCTAGAACATAAAGAGACAGATAAAGAAGACTTCTGATATTATGTTCTTAATGACATACAGGTGCAGCTGTAGAGAAGAAATGGGGCTCAAAATACCACTAGAACCTAGCCCTGGGAGATTTTTTGCGAGCTATGGTTACTGTGAACTGGGAGGCTCCCACTAATCCTTTTTGCTCCATGATAATTGCAGGTTGAAGTGTCCCATACAGAGGTTCATACTGCAAATGTGATGAGATCATTGTACATCAGCCTAACATTAACCCTTTCTCTGCCAAGCCCTACAGAACACTTTAAACCTCAGCTGGCCACACCATTTTTGCAATTTTTCACCTTTTTTTTATTTTCTTTTGCAGTTTTTAGCGTTTGTAAAAAAACCTCCCAAAACATACATTTTCTGAAAGCAGAGGCCCGGTAGAATAACAAGATGGATGCTACTAATTTTGTAGGCCCTGCGATAATTGTGCAAATGTTTATCAAATCAATATTTTTTTAGATCGAAAAAAACTGCGCTAGGAATCAAAAAACTCTAAAAGGAGTACACCCAAAATAGGAAAAAAGAAAATAGCAATGTGGCATTGTGCAACACAGGTGTTGTGGATAACACAAATTGTTTTATTACTTTGTGATCATTTCACAATTAAAATTTCTCACATTTTAGGAATATATTTTTTTAGTTTGTGAAGCGCAGTGCTATTTTCTTTTTTCGTATCAAATCAATATTAACTGATAAGAATTCACAATTAAATCGATAAAAGCACATTAAAATCAGTATCGGTGCAAAAAAAACAAAAAACTTTCATGACTAAATCTAAAAGAAATTTCAAATTGCGCCTTTTTGCAAAACTGTGAAAGGAACGCAAAAAACTGTAAAAAAGACAACTTTTGTTGAAAATTGCTTGTGTGCTGTGTTGTGATAAAATGATACAGGCGTACATTTAATCGCAACACAGCATATCACAACGCTTTGCCATACGCTGCCACAGTAAAATGAATGTTATGCTGCACTGCAGCATATGTGCATGGTGTACACCACAATATGGTGCACACTGTTGCTTGTGTATAATATGTGCGTGTGTGGGGGGGTTGCGTTTTATTTTATGCTTTAGGCTTGACAAAGGAGGTCAACCTCTGAAATGCATTGTCTAGCAACACCTGACAACCCAGAAGTACTCAGCAGCTGTGACCCTGCTTTGAGGAGAACCAGCCACAGCAGTGCTCAGCCACTGGATCAGACCTGTCTTCCAGCACAGGGGTTCTGGAATCTTTCTGGACTGAGCTGGACTCTGCTCTCTCCATATTAGAGCTGCAACAATTATTCGATTAAGTCGATTAAAATCGCTGATGGAAAATGTTGTCAACATTTTCCATCGTCGATTCGTCGGCTAAAATTAAAATTTCCCGCTCGCCACTGCACGCCGGTTAGGGCACTGACGCCACGCCCACCGCACACACCGGTAAGGCCGCTCACGCCATTGCTAAGGACATACGTCTGCTCCTCTCCTCCTGGTGAGCTTCCTGATTCGCCGCTGCCCGTTGACAATCAAGGGTCCACCTCATTCAAAGTAAGTCACTCGATACCTTTTTAATGTTTCCTGTTTTTTTTTTTTACGTTTCCTGTTTTTTTTTTTTTTAAAGCGGCACACTGCAGAACATTAGCAGCTATAGATGTCAAATGCCAGCAATAATACATTATACACCCTGTATAATGTATTATTGCTGGGATTTGTTGTTCCTCTATAGCTGGTGGTATTCTGCAGTGTGCTGCTGTATTGTATTCTGCATGGTACTTTGCATTGTATAATACAGTGGACACATCTGGTATGCTACATCTGGTATGCTGCAGAATACCAATGTATTATACAGCGGCACACGGCAGAATACCACCAGCTATAGAGGAACAACACATCCCAGCAATAATACATTATACAGTGTGTATAATGTATTATTGCTGGCATTTGTTGTATTCTGCATTCTGTATAATCATTATACAGCGCAATGCAGAATGGCACCAGCTATAGAGGACTACAAATCCCAGCAATAATAAATTTTACAGCGCAATGGAGAACAACATCTATAGAGGAATACATCAGATCCCAGCAATAATACATTATATACAGTGCAATGCAGAATACCAGCAGCTACAGACGACTACAAATCCCAGCAATAGTGTGTGTGTGTTGTGTTCCGCCGTAAGCCTTACGTCGGTGGCAGCGAAAGGGTTAAATTGAAGTATAACTGAGTTCTGCAAGTCCAAAGATGTGCCAGGGAACTATGGTTAGTGATTTTAATCTAAAACATTTGTGTTATTTACCTTCATATTTGCACATGTTGGCCGTACTTTCACCATGGTGTCATATAGCTGTATGCATTCCCGAGGAGAACATGTAAGATCTTTTGGGATTCCATAGTTTTTCACCTATTTGTAGTAAACAAGTGTTATTGATTGTTTCGTTCACTTACTGCCATGCATTCTATTAGCATAAAATAAATACAAGTTCACTTTTTCCAGGCAAATCAAAGTATAGCTAAGGACTCTATGAATGTTATTGCTACTCCTTCAGAAAAATGAAATACACCAACCAAAAGTACATAAAATATTAATTGGGAAAGAATTACAAAGTCAACAAAAATTGCAATTATACTTACATGATCTATGGTTAAGGCGGCAAATGGATGATAATGGTCAAATGTAACCTTAGAATTTTCAACAGAACAAATGTTTGTCTCCAAGTCGTTATATCTCCTGTCATAACAGACTAAAAAAAAGACACATATAATTAATACAGTGACACTAATTTCAGGCAGAAACTTCAAGCGATCATATGCACTAATATACCAGATGCCATAAAGGTGTATCTTACTTCCTTTGTCTCTGGCAGCCAGGAAGGTTACATAACAGTATTCAAATACGTCTAAAATGTGCACACCAATAGTACTTCTGGGAATGGAGAAATCAGTTGAGTGCAGCTCCCCACATATGTAAACACCATGTAATAACTAGATGCAGCAATACCGCGCCACTCTCATGTTGGGTTTTTGGGTGGACTCTGTTGGATTGAATCGCATACTATGCTCATATAAGTGACAATTCTCTGCAGTGATTTGTGATCAAGTTGCCAGCAGTGTTAATTTCGTTGACGAAAACTATGACTAAAATTATTAGTCAACAACACTTTTTCAGTGACTTAAACTAGGTCATGATGACTAAAACTAACAAATATATTGACATATTAATCGACTAACTAAAACTAGACTAAAAAGTTAGGGGTAGATCCTGCACACAGAGGATCGGTAAATATCGCAGATATTTGCCAATACTCCCGCTTAGCCATCCTGACCTACTCGGCACACACAGATAACAGAGCCTCTGGCGATCCTGACTGACAGCCGGCGGCTATGCTCACAGCTCGGCCATCCTGAATGTCACCACTCCTACGCCCCCCCCGCCGCCGTCCATTTCTCCTCTGATCCCCGCTGCCTCAGCCCATACAGGCGGGGAGAGCAGTGGGGATCTGAGGAGAAATAGATCCCAGTCTGGAGCGGAGCCTGATCGACGCTGGATTGAAATTGTGGGACATTTTTTTTGTATTTAATAAAGGAAGTCAAAAACCTGTGTTTTTTTTTTTTCAAATAAAAGGACTTTTAAGGTGTGGTGTGTTTATATTTTGAATGTTTATTTGGTGAATAAGTAGGGGTAACAACTATCCCTTACTCATTCACAAGGGAGGGGCAGGATCTAGGTGCCTCCCTGCCCGCAGACCCCCACAACTACTGGGCCAGGGTTGTGAGGAAGAGGCCCTTGTCTTCATCCACATGGGGACAAGGTGATTTTCCACACACCCCCCCCCTTTTCTTTTTCTATTCTGCCAGGCTGCTGCTTGGATCAAGGTTCTGGTGAGAGATTTTAGGGGAATCGATGTTTTTTGGGGGTTGGGGTCCCCCCTAAAGTTTCTACCAGATCTAAAGGGTTTGGCATGTATTGCCGGAGGGAACCACACGCTTTCTTTTTTTATTAATTTACTTCTTTTCTGTGGACTGTCAAAAGTTAGAAACTTTTCTGCATTCTGTAAGGCCTTGTTCACACCAAGCGCGGAGCAGGTGCAGAGAAGAGCAGTTGCAGACCGGATCAAAACCGCGTCCAATGTATTCCAATGGTATTTTTTGCTCCAGTTCACATCGCAGTGTGCAGTTCCCGAGCAGGTGAAAAAACTGCAGCAAGCCCTATTTTACATGCTCTGGAACGCAAACGCATTTGTATGCAAATGCCTGGAACGCACTGAAATCCCATGTTAACTACCTTCCGTCCATGGCCGTTTGCGAACGGACGGACGTCTGCTAGGAGCGGGAGGGCGTCTTAAGACGTCCTGCCCCTCCCCCTCTCGTGTGCGCGCACACAAGAGGGAAAAAACTGTGAGCATGTAAACAGCCAGCGATGGCTGTTTACATACAAGCGATCAGGCGTCTCTAGAGACGCCCAATCGCTTGCAGGAACTGCGGGTGTGCGGCCTCCCCACCCCCACGTACCTCTGTCTCGCCGTCTCCTCGTCGCCGCTGCCGGTCCGTGATCCGATGTGGCCGTGCGGCTGGGACCGGTACGGCGATGCTCTAACAGCAGATCAAAGGGAGATCATTACTCGATTTCCCTTTGATCTCTCTTCCTGTCCCCGAATGCAGGAAGTGATGTATATTACATCACTTCCTGCATTCAGTGTCACTCTCCGGTGCAGAACACCGGAGAGAAGCTGATGAAGCAGATCTCTGCTTCATCAGCTTCTGTGGGGGTCCCTAGGTGACATCAGAGGTCTTGGAGACCCCTGATGTCTCCATAAAGAGGACCTGTTTGGTGAACTGGCTATTACATAGGGGATTTCTTAATCCCCTATGTTATAGCAATAAAGTTGTGTAAAAAAAAAAATGACAGCATTAAAAAAAATAAAGAAGCTAAAAAAAATATTCACAAATAATTAAAAAAAAATTACATAAAAAATGTTTTAAAGTCCCCCGCCCCCCCCACATACACATGCAAACACGCGTCGGGTGCGCCTATGTACGAAAACGGCGATTGCGCCTATTATGTAGCACGTTACATATCGCCGCGAACGTCGGAGTGAGAGCAATAATTTTAGGGCCATCAATCACTGATAACACTAAACTGATGAGCGGTAAAAACGTTTAAAGTGTCGCCTATGGCCAATTTTGGTTGCAGTAGTTTTCTGCGATTTCGCGGGCGCGCAATTTTAAAGGTTGACATATTTAGTGTCTATTTACCCGACGTGACCCCGTCTTTTATATACCAAAAAATTGGGGTGAAAATACATTTTTCATAACATTTTATAGGGAAACATGTTTTTTTTACAAAATTTAGGGTACTTCTTTTGTTATATAGTAAAAAATAAAAACCCCAGCTGTGATTAAATACCACCAAAATAAAGCTCTATCTGTCCCCAAAAAACGGTATAAAATTCATTTCAGTACAGCGTTGCATGACGGAATAAACGTCAGCCAAAGTACCGCAGTGCTGAACACTGAAAAATGGCCTGGCCAGGAAGGGGGTTTAACACCGGTCTTCAAGTGGTTAAACGAAAAAAAATATTTTTTTAACCAAAAACAGCCCGGAGCACATCTAAAACGCGGTAAAAGCGTGGCAAAAATGCAGCAATCCACTGCACTGCGTGTGCAGAAAATGAGCGGATCTGCTCTGCATTTGGTGTGAACAAGGCCTAACGGTTCTACTTTCTTGACATTCGGAATGCTCCTGAATGTCAACAAAGTGGCAGAACTGTCACAGACTGGCACACAGTTCTCCACTACTTTGTTGATATTCTGTATAAGTTCTCTGCTACTTTGCTGACATTCGGGATGCTCAATTCGGAACGAAATACCGTATATACTCGAGTATAAGCCGTCCCGAATATAAGCCGAGGTACCTAATTTTAGCAAAAAAAACTGGGAAAAAGTATTGACCCGAATATAAGCCGAGGGTGGGAAATGAGGCAGCTACTGGTAGATAGATACCAATAAAATTACATTAATATTTATTTAAAACATGTGTAGCTCCAATATCATTGATTTTCACTGTGGAGTATTTGGCAATAGCAGTAGTCTACAATATTCTGTGATTTGTTTCAGTGTCTGCTCAAGGCTTTGATCTTGCTTCATGTATTACAGAAATTATTTACTTGGAAATGACATGGCAAAGTGTTTAGAAAACTGTGTCTACTGTATATACACTTTGCAGAGTAAGAACATAAAACAAGAGGCAGATAGAAAAACAGGTCCCATCACCCTAATTGTAAACTACCTGTGCAGACAAATGGCACCGAATTAAATGTACACTATATTGCCTAAAGTATTGGGAAACCCCTCCAAATCATTGGATTCAGGTGTTTCGTGAAATTTCCTTCTTACTAAATATTCCACGGTCAACCGTTAGTGGTATTATAACAAAGTGAAAGCACCTGGGAACATCAGAAACTCAGCCACGAAGCGGTAGGCCACGTAAAATGACAGTGCGGGGTCAGCTCATAGTGCGCAGAAGTCGCCAACTGTCTGCAGTCAATAGCTGCAGACCGCCAAACTTTATGTGGCCTTCAGATTGGCACAACAGTGCGTAGAGAGCTTCATGGAATGGGTTTCCATGGACGAGCAGCTGCATCCAAGCCTTACTTCACCAAGTGCAATGCAAAGTGTCAGATGCAGTGGTGTAAAGCACGCCGCCACTGGACTCTGGAGACGTGTTCTCTGGAATGACAAATCACGCTTCTCTGTCTGGAAATCCGATGAACGCGTCCACGTTTGGTGTTTGCCAGGAGAACGGTACTTGCCTGACTGCATTGTGCCAAGTGTAAAGACATGGATGAGCGAGTTTGGGGTGGAGGAACTTGACTGGCCTGCATAGAGTCCTGACCTCAACTCGATAGAACACCTTTGGGATTAATTAGAGCGGAGACTGCGAGCCAGGCCTTCTCATCCAACATCAGTACCTGACCTCACAAATGCGCTTCTGGAAGAATGGTCAAACATTCCCATAGACACACTCCTAAACCTTGTGGACGCCTTCCCAGAAGAGTTGAAGCTGTTATAGCTGCAAAGGGTGGGCCAATTCAATATTGAACCCTACGGACTAAGGCTGGGATGCCATTAAAGTTCATGTGCGGGTAAAGGCAGGCGTCCCAAAACTTTTTGCAATAGTGTATGTTTAGTGTAATGTATTTCAATTATGTATAAATAAAAGCCATTGGTTTTACACAAATTACCTAGTCGAACTCTGTATGACTTCTTTTCTGGTTTTAGCGGTTTATTCTGTCTTTCCTTTTGTGGTGGATTTGTCACAAGACTAGATTCTCTTTCATCATTTTGCTGCCAGTATTTTTTGACCGATCGAAGCCACCTAAATAGTAAAGAATAATTAGTTACAGTTACACTTTATTTTTGTTCAAAATACTACAAATAATAAATGAATGGTTTGAGAACTGAAGGGGAACTGAAATCAGAACTTGCAAATTAAATCCAATGACCAAACTATACTATACTGTATTGAAACCAGTACTGATGGAATACTTGGTATTACCAATGAGCTTGGTGGTTTTAAGCTACTGGAAACATGGAGATAAAAATTCTGAGAGGTCAAAGTGTAGAGGTAAGAGGTAAAGACTGTATAGAGTGGCAAATGCATAAAGCTGAGAAATAATATTAGGGGGTGCGATTGAAGTTTTAAACCTGAACTTTGTGCAAAGAGCTTAAAGTGTGTATAAACCCCAAATCTATTTACTCTTCAATTTACTGAAGGTCACAGATGATCAATATATCTTAACCAATGGGTTATATCACCGCCTGCTAGAGTAGGACATAAATATCAACTCAGTACCGTATTTTGCGGTCCATAAGACGCACCGGACCATAGGACGCAGGGAGGTCCGGCGCGCCTTATGGAGCACTCGACAGACCATAGCTTCTGTCACAGCTTCTATGACAGAAGCTGTGACAGAAGCTGCAGTTAGTGACCGCTGAGACAGGTGGCGCTGTGATTACAGCGCCACGGTCTCAGTGATCACACAGAGCAGACGAAGAAAGTCCGTTCTTAATCTGCTCTATGGTGATCTCAATAGTCGCCGCTGCTCGGTTTTAATACGAGTGATCTCATTAGATCACTCGTATTAAACGAGCAGTGGCTCCTACTACTCGCCCGGCGCCCAAAACTGCATGTCTCGGGTGTCACGATTCGCTCCATAAGACGCAGGCACATTTCCCCCCTCCTTTTGGGGGGAAAAAGTGCGTCTTATGGAGCGAAAAATACGGTATATTGTCCCGATAAACGCATTCTGAAAATGCCTCACCCCCTATGTGGAAGGTTACAACTAGCAAGAAATTGTTGGGGTTTAATGAGGCATCAAAGTCATAGCATAAGTAAAATAGAAATTAATTTATTGACAAGTACTTATTTACAGTTATATAAAAAGGTCCATCAACATATAGTAAAGATCACCCGTGGTGTCCCAGTAACGCTTCCAGAAAATATCCAAGAATAACCACACGCTGTGGCAGAGGGAAGCACCTGAACACAGATTTGGCGGTATCAAGGAACAATTATTCAGTCGGCCGCCTCCTAGGCAAAGTGAAAAGTACTGTAAGAAACTAGGACAAGTGGATTGGGTCCTCTAACGGTTTTGTCTCCCCTTCTTTGTGTTTCCGGTGTCCCCACCATGGGTTTGGATGGGAGGAGAGAGGGGATGAGCAAATATCCGGCTCTCCCTCTTTATCCTTGAATCCCTGTTTCCCCTAAGCACATGGTGTTTGATTGGTTACCTTGTGATCCCCATACAAAGTTAAAACAGTGAAACGCATCAGGATCAATACCTGCTACACCAGCCAGTTCAAATGACCACATTGTGGGACTTTTGTAAATTCTCCACGAATCCTCTAAGACACATATTTATAATGAATTATTTTGGCAAAGTGTGGTTATTTTTGGACATTTTCTGGCAGCGTTACTAGGACACCATGGGATCTTTACTATATGTTGATGGTCTTTAATATAACCTGTCAATACATTTTATGCTATGACTTTGATGCCTCATTAAACCCCAACAACTTCTTGCTAGTTGTTAAAGTAGGACACTAGGAACAAAGCAAATGACAATCAGGGGTGACACCTGCTGGTGGGCAAACCCCAACATCTGTAACAACCAACTCAGTTTTTTACCTAATAAGGAGGTAAGGTCTAAATTTCCTACTGGTCTCTTCAGTCCAGGTTTTATGGTTCTGTCCTCAGATTTGTCCTCCAGTTGCTCTGCTGGTGCCACATATAACTGATTGGACTATGTCTGAACTCTCACAGTACCACCTCCAGGCTAATGGCGTCCAGAACATGGTCAATTTTGACCGAATCTTATATTGGCCGAGATTCACTTAATGGGTGGCACTGTCTGCCAGTTCACATCCAACATCCTTTTATGAAAATTCAAAGGAGCGGGCAGAAAATGTTCAGCCGAACAGTACCTGCATTCAATCAGATGCAGGCATTATGACTATTCAACATGGATGGAGGAATCTTAGATTTTTTTCTGTTCAGACTGAAAGTGCATACCCAGCTTAACTGACAGAATCTCCAGGTAAAAAACATTGCCACAAATTCACAAGAAATGATTTGCTTAAGATGCATGATGCCAAACATACTGAAAAATAATTTGGGTTTACAAATACTTAAATATACATAAATGTGGATTGACTTGTAAACCTGTCCAGCCACTTTTGAGATTTATTCACTTCTGCCAGACATTACAGAAGGTGGCACCAGTTTTCCTGTTATGTTAAAGAATACAGTGGTGTCAACTCCTTACCTGCAGCCTTCTAATTAGACAGTGAAGCAACACACTGCTATGTCAAGAACCCTGCTTCTCCTCCTGTCAGCATGTTCCCTGTCAGCACATGCAGTGCTGTTGTTCAGGCAATAGCAGGAGACATATATCAGGACTTTTGCTAGCTGCATTTAAAATACATTAATTTTAACTGGGAACACACAGGTTTACTGCCTAGTGTATTTATATATGCCTGAAGTTCCAATTTATTCTGAATTTTTCATTTGTAACTGTAGCATAGACTAACTACATCAGTGTATTGAGTATCTGAGCCCATACATAACAGGTAACTACTCTATGTTCATAAACAGCAATAAACAGTGAATACAAGTTTACTAGTATTATTGTGTTCAGTCATGTGCATGCACTTTAATACCCGTTCTATTGTCTGTAAAGGTCTCTGGTGCAGTACAGTATAGAATGTTACAAAGTGGTGCGAACAAACAACGTTAAGCTTTTGAGAGGCATGTGTGAGAAAACTTAGAACTGTGTGGCCATGTACGCACTAAATACTTCTCCAGACCACAGAGTTCATATTTATATTAGGCTGTATTCATATATACTCACTCGGTGAGGTGCTCTGGGTTACTAATTGTGGCAGATAAAGCCAAGAATGGACAGCGAATCATGACTAGTAGGTGCTCCCAGACTTCTGCGCCAATTTCTCCTCCCATGCAGTGTACCTTGCATTGTAAACATATTTTCAGACATTCAGACAAAAATTTAAATCACAACATTTTTAAAACACAAACTTAAACAAAAATCAATGTGCAGTTTTACAGCAACAGTTTCTCTGCCATGTAAGGCCTCTTTCATATGTCTGTCAGTTGCGGTCAGCACAGATCCCCCCTGTTGACTGGAACAGTACGGAATGGATGTCACCATTGTGACTTCCGTGTCTGACCAGTTTGTTCCTCCATCTTGCGATGGAGAAAAAAAACTGAACTTACCGGACACATGTTGGTCTATGTTGGAAGTTAAATGTAAATGGACATGGGTCAGTTTACATCAGACAACCTCCAATCCACCACGATGAGGGGGTAATTGTATGTGAACAGATGCACCTGAAAAACTGACAGACCTGATCAGAAATCTGTTAACTGATTATCTCTTGCACAGATGATTAGCTCTACACTCACTGGAGGCTATAGGCACACAACAGTTGGCACCTAAAGCAACACACAACCTCTAGGACAGTGGTTCTCAACCTTTCTAGGGCCGGGACCCTTTGGTAACATTTGCCAAGTTGTGGTGACCCCAACGGTAAAATTTAGGAATGACGAGGCTGCTGCAGCGACATCTGGCGGGAGAACTGACACTGCTGCGCTAAGAGAGGGCTGAGGAGGACTCTCACACAGCAGAAATCACACAGCGACCCACAGGTTGAGAACCACTGGTGCACGCCGTCGGAATAAAAAAACAAAAAAAACACCCTAGGAATGCATAGCTAGATTCCTATTGGCTATTTCACTTTGAGACTCCCGAAGGAGAACCGCTGCTCTAGGACCATCTTTTTCCTAACGTTTTCTTGTTTTACTCCTGTTTACTGTCCACATGCATGCTGCCGGGCTGCCTGCATTGACTTACCCTGTGTCTCTTCTCCCTACCGAAGATCTCTACTGCGCATGCTCCCGCCCCATGATCCTTCACGGCCATTCAAGAATCTTCAGATCTTCGGACGGGAGCATGAGGCGGAGACACAGGAAAGTAATTACCTTTTTGGTAACATTTTTTTATGTTTTCGCATGTCTATTGCTTGCTAGCATTAGATATATGGGCAAAAAAAAAGGTTTAACCCCTTTGTGACTGACGTACAGTGTACGTCGCCAGCATCGGGGCTGTTTAACCAGTTGACATCCGCGGTGTTAAACCCCCTTCCCATCCAGGCCATTTTTCAGTATTCAGCACTGCGGTACTTTGACTGACATTTATTCCGTCATGCAACGCTGTACAGGCTATATCAGCAGAGATCTGCTCTCTGGCTATAGCAGCCAGATGACTGACAGGTGAATGCAGAAGTGATGTAATACACATCACTTCTGCATTCACAGCCCGGACGGAGATCAGCAAGGAGCTGATCTCCCGTCCTCTTCCTCCTGATGCCCTCCGAGCCGGTCCCGGGCCGCAGATGGGGCAGCGGGACCGGGGGTCGAGGTATGCGGTGGAAACGAGCACATATAGACGATCGGCGGGCTATGGAGCCGCTCATCGCCTATATGTGAAACACCCGGTAACGACTGCCGGGAGTCTGTTCAAACTTGTAAAGCCGACTGTCGGCCTTACAACAGAAGCGATTCTGGCGAGTTACTTGTCGCCAGATCACTTGTGTCCCAAAGAAGCGATCTGCACTTCAATAGCTTATTTCTAGTGTAAAGGTGACTCTGGGGCCTTTGGACCCCCAGCATCACCTTAAAGAGTACCTGTCACCACCATCTGCTATCACATGTGGGGAGGCTTATAAGCACCCCTATGTGATAGCAGTCAAAGTAAAGTTTTTAAAAAAAAACAGTTTTTAAAATTAAATATAATAATAATAAAAAAAATTTAAAGTCAGGTTTAATAAGGAGTTGCACTAATATTGCGCAACATAAAAATTTGCAACTACCACCATTTTATTCTATAGGGTCTTGCCATTCAGAAAATATATAATGTTTGGGGGTTTTAAGTAATTTTCAGGCCTAAAATGTGGAATATAACATGGGTGCAAAAAATGAAAAAAAGGCCTCAGTCATGAAGGGGTTATACTTTAAATATTGTGACAATGAATAGACAAACTTATATGAAATAACTGTATTTATACAGATGTTGGCTCATAAAAATAAAGACCCCTCTTTTACTCAGCCACCTATAGGCATATGCCTACTGTGCCTAATGGTAAATCCAACCCTGCCCTGATGTCACATTCATGTTTTATTCTTGCAGACACTTGGTTGCCACTGGGTGACACAATGCATTTTATAATATTGTTTTTGTTCAGCACATACATTATTTATTCTATAATGCTGCATACCTCATCAAATATTACATATTTGATTTTTTTCACCCAATCCTGCCGATGGGGAGATAGCAGAAGAATTTCCAAACATTGTGGAATTGTCACCAGCACCTGTATAAAAATACACATAGAAACAGATTAATGAAGCAGTAGCAGTAAATAGAAATGACATCTGTGGTGCTCTCACCCCTTCCAATGGGCACTTCTGACAGCAACACCTGCCCTAACGCTGCCTCCATGTTAAGTGGCAGTATAGTACATCTACTATGTTTTCTAACAGGGTTATTCACAAAGCTGACGAAGGCAGCCGAGTGAATAACCGAGTCGTAGTGAAGCGAGCCAAACAACATTCGGCTATTCACTACGGCTCAGTACGGTTGATTTTGGCTGAGCCAAAGTGCAGAAGGACTTCGACTCAGTCGATCCAACACATGGATCGGCTGACCAGAAGCCCTGGCAGTTCACTCGCTGCCGTTCACCCCTATTCACATAGGGGCCAAACGGCAGTGAGTGAATAGCCAAATGCCTCTGAGCGGCATTCGGCTCGGCTATTCTGCTCGGTACCTCTGTGGTACCGAGCAGAATAGCAAATAGTGATTTAAAGTGGCATTTAAAGTGGCAGCTTCATTTAAAGTGGCAGCTTCATTTAAAGTGGCAGTAGAGTACATCTGCTTTCCAAGACTTATATGTACTGGTTACATATTCATATTATGGCTTTTATTATTAAGTAAAGGAAAAAAAATAAACATCTTAATTTATATGGGCAATACTTACACTTTGACCATATACAACCAGTTATTACTTTAAATTTTCTTTACATACTAGTGCAGCTTATACTAAATAGAGGACATCGCACCTTCTCCTACCTACCTAGAGAGGCAATACCCCCTTAAATGTTAAGTCATAATTCACTATTTGCATACAGTTTGCAATTTAATATATGTGAAAAATGGGGGAACCCAAAAGGTAGAGGTTGGATAGAACAACAAAACATATCAGAATATAAACTAAATTATATAATGGTAAACACTTCCAGGCTTGTCAGCTGTGATCTGTTATCCGTGAGAGAATATGAAAGAAACAACAGGTTGCCACTTGGCTACACATCAGAGAAAAAAAATGAATGCACATGTCCTGCATTAATATAAACGGTAACCGTGTGGTGGGTGCTGTGGATCAATTGTCTCAGTCCATGAAACTCATAAAAAACTCCAAAATCAGACATAGGAACAATAGGTACTGGATGTGGTATAGTCCAACTACTGAGTGTATAATCCAATATGAGGCATCAGAGATAGGTGAATTTGTGTACACTGAAGAAAGTCTCAATGGACGTGGTTATAAATAAAGATGATTTAAACTGTGCGTCCTTAGGTGCTTCCTGTAAACGCACCCTGCTACACAGTATATCTCACCGCCATTGCATTATGATTTTTCTTTCATCAATTGTAAGATGATTTTGAAGACAAAGGTTGTCAACCACCAGAAGAAATAAATGCAGTTTGCATTTAGGGGTTTTTGCTAATGTTGGGGAGGGGGTACATGTGTGCACATTGGGTAAATTATGTTCATATATATTTGAAATAAATTGATTTTTTACATGCTAATTTTATTTGAAGAACATTTATGTGATCATATGGCTTCTCAGCTGATCTCTGATGTGTAGCTAAGTGGGAACCTGTTGTTTCTTGCAATTTAATATACTCTATAACAAACAACTATACAACAATAAAAATATATTTTTTTAAACCTATGAAGCATGAGTTTTTAAATATGCAAAAAAAGACACTAAATTTGATTATGATCTTTTAAAATGTCCTCAACTATTTTACCATCCACCCTCCTAGCTGTCTTCTAACCTAATCTAATAAGCAAAGCTGTAAAAAATACATATTAACTAGCCTAGACTCTGCCAGGACCTAGTGAACTGGCAGTAATAGACATGTGCGATTCATTTCGTTACGAATTGAATTTGGGGCAAACATCAGCAAATTCGGACATTTGGATGCATCCGAATTTCTGAATGAAAGAAATAACGAAACCAAAACTTATCTGAATTTTCCGATAACGAAACTTAGGGAACTTTTGTTGTTAAACATTAAAATAAAAACCAGCGTGGCGTCTCCTTCCCAATTCACACCAGACCCTTTAGGTCTGGTAGGAATTTTAGGGGGGACCCCAACGCCAAAAAAAAAAATCCCTCACCACAGACCCTTGATCCAAGCAGCAGTCTGGGTGAGCAGGAAACCCCCTCCTGCACCATAACATGCTGTATGACCAAGGGATCAATTGCCACAGTGATAAGATCCATTCTAATAACCTTAGACCAGTCGGGTAGAGTTTGCTAGATCAAAGTCAAGGCTAGAACAGGCTGCAATGCTGGGCCTGCCAGAGAGAAAAGAGCTCTTGAAAGGGCCTTAAAGACAAGTGCATCCTGGGATAAGACACTTTGTTAAGATGGGTAAGTGCCAGATTTACAGTGGAGGTAGCCTATTGTTTACAGGACTGATAGCCACTTGGGAGGTACAAACATCTTGCCCGGATGTTTCCATAAAAATACTACAAACTGCAGGTGCACTGGAAAAGGTCTTTGCTGCATACCGTGGCAATAAGAGTCAAACGTCTTTTAGTTTCAGAGTGATGGCAGAAGACTGCAACCACTCAGAGACATGTTTGACTCAGAGGCCTCTAAGGACACAGGCAGATCAGATAAATACCCTGAAGGGGAAGGTGCGGGAGCACGCTTGTGGCCTTTGTTGTCATAGTCAGCAAACATCAGTGCTATTTTGCCCGTAAAGTCCTGCATGACTGCAGTGAAATCCTCCTTGGATAGAGCAAAGGAGGTAGACTCACCCAAAGCGGCTAGGGAAGACTGCAAAGATGGCATAGGCTCTAGCAGAGGGCAAAATTCCACGCTGCCAGTGTCAGTCACATCAGTAAACATGCTCCTGGTAGCACCGGAGGGTTAGTGAACTGTGAGCTGGAGACACCCAGTACAGTGGGACTGGCCCCCGTTTTTAGAACCTGACCTGTTATACCACAAGATAAAAAGGCAATGTAGCTCAAGGTAGGAGGCAAAGCCTAACATACTCCTAAACCCGAAAATTATAAAAAAAAAAGAAAAAAAACTAAGAAAAACGTGTCTTTGTATGATAAAATGACATCTCAATATGTCGTGATATACGAATTTGTATATCATGACATATTAAGATGTCATTTTATCATACAAAGACACGTTTTTCTTAGTTTTTCTTTTTTTATAATTTTCTGTCATTTAACCTTTTTAAATAAAAAGTGCTACGACAGAACACTTTCTTCCTATAAAGGAATTTTTATAAATGAACCAATAGGTGCAATACACAAACCAAGCGCAACATACCAGCACACATCCATCACGTTTACACACATTGTTGCAGCTAGTACTCTAAAAGGTGCCCATACACTGCACGATTATCGTACGATAATCGTATGCGATCGGTTTTTCGTACGATAATCGAGCAGTGTGAACGGAGACGTGCGACCGTTTCTACTGTACGGTCGCACGTCTTCTTTCGAACCAGCATGTTCAAAAACCAGCCGGGAATCGTACGATTCTCGGCTGGTTAGAACGGTGCTCGGAAGATAAATGCTGAACGGGCCGGTGTGCGCACGCGCACACTGCCCGTTCAGCATTGCGGTCATCGGAAGCCCGCCCCTCATGGGGGCGGGCTTGCGATGAACGAGAGTGCGATCTGCCTGTCCAAGATAGGCAGATCGTACGTTTTTTTAATCCCTTTACAACCATCGCAAGACTAAAGTCTTGCGATGGTTGTAGAGTGTATGGCCACCTTAACACTTTATCCTAGCGCAACTAAAATTGGTCGAAATACTCCTAAACCCAGCTGCTGGAAAGCAGAGGAGGGGTTAGGTGGTTGAAGTTAACCAAGTCACTGTAGGTGGGCAGTAGGAAAGGACTGACAATCAGAGTTCCACATGACTCTTGCAGTAGGAAGCAGGTGAAGGCAGCACAGACAAAAAAAAAAGAAGCGATTAAACCCCCTATCAGGTTAATTTTTGCTGCCTGTGGCCTGTTGGGTAGATTTCCCTTCACTCTCTTTTCTGGAGACACAAAAAGAAATGAGAGAAAAATCTCCCTAAATTATGGAAGTACCCATCTTAGATAGTTGTCACATCCCCTCCCCTCTTGTTCTGGTTAAAACTCTAAAATTATGGATTTTCCCCCCCATCTTTGTCTCAGTGACAATGGTCACCAGAATAAAAGGGGTTAATCTCCCCAGTGGAGATGCCAATAAAAGCTTAATAGAGGCCCTAAACCTTACCCACTCTATCCAGAACTAAATAAATGTTTGTCTTTTATATACAAATTAAAAATCAGTTGATTTATGTTAAAACATTTGTAAGCAGGAATGGATGATACACACCTGACAATTCAATGCATCATATCGATAATCCCGTATAAAAACCCCACATAGCGTCATTCCAGAAGGAAGATCTTTGTTGAACTGAGATGTTACAGTGGCTACAACCTGGTTTATAAGAGCCTGTTATATTGAAAAGAACAGTTAAGATAATGCAACCTATATTCTATAGCCTATAGATTCTAGACATCAACAAGGAGATCTATCTCAGAAATGGCACACTATCCCTAAATCAGGGATCAACAAATTTGTTCCAAATGGGAAAAATAATGAAAGTTCCTGATGGCCTTTGAAAATAAAAGTAATTGTTTATAACTTGTCTTAAGAAAAATTAAAATGCAACTAATAGGACAGCCACCATTAAGTTTAAAACAGACAGATTTGTGTTTAAACACTAATATGATGCTATAAAACTAAGCATATCAGTGTGTACAAACAGCCAACAGATGGAAACTTAACAAGAAAAATGTAATATATGTTTCAGTAATCAACATTCAAATTGAACCAATTTCTGTACACAGTCTTTGTTTCCTGTGTTTATAGACTTATTTATACCCAGAAGCACTGCAAATTATATAATATCCGCTCAAAATGCATATATTTAAAGAAAGAAATAAAGCATATAATAATATAAAGGAGTCATAAAATAAGGTGTCTGTTCCTCCCATGTTTGCGAGTGTTTACATTTAGGTTTTTAATAAAGTTTAAATTCATTTTTTTTTAAATATGTTTTACGTTTATTCACACTCTCAGAACAATGGGGAAAAAAGAGAAAATAACAATCTGGAGGGGAATGTAAAAAAAGAATATAATTTCCAGTGGTAGAGCTGACCGTGCAACAAGCATTATTTGATCCTACTTTAGAAGTGGGTCATACATTTTTTGGTAAGTAAACCTGCTGAAGGGGGCACAGGTGGAGGTGGGGCACATAGTTTATCATGATGACAGATATCACTTTCCTGCGCAGTGTGACTTTTTACTTGAGGTAGATTGATTTGCACTTTATGAACTTGTTTTTATGAATAGTATTTCTTTGCATCAATTGAAGTATAGAATTAACGGATATCTTGTTTTTATTACTGCATGCACAGTGATTTTTTTTTTTAGATATACACATTTTGACTGGGTTGTATATATTTAAAGGTGGCCATACACTGTACAACCATCGCAAGACCTTAGTCTTGCGATGGTTGTAAAGTGATTAAAAAAACGTACGATCTGCCCATCTTGGACAGGCAGATCGTACTCTCGATCATTGCAAGCCTGCCCCCAAGGGGCGGGCTTACGATGACTGCAATGAGGGGCGGGCTTAAGATGACTGCAAACGGGCTGTGTGCGCGCGTGCGCACACACAGGCCCGTTCGGCAGTTGTCGAACCAGCAGGCCACTAACTCGCCGAGAATCGTACGATTCCCGGTGGGATTTCTAGACTGCTGGTTCGACGGAAGACGTGCGACTGTACAGGAGAAACGGTCGCACGCCTTCCATACACTGCACGATTCTCGTACGATCGCGGGATTTCCCGTGATTCTCGTACGAGAATCGTGCAGTGTATGGGCACCTTTAGAGTGCAGTGCTGTGGGTATAATGTTGTTTATTATCAGGTTTTGATAATTAGCACAGCTGCTTAGTTTTGATAGTAGATGGGAGCAAAAGGACTTTGCACATTATTAACAAAGACCAATACAAGTGACAATAAGGGTGAGCATCCGGCTCAACCCAAACCCAGCCTGTCCAGGCTCATTACCCCTGGATAACAAAAATATGCTTCAAAGCCATAACTACCTAAAAAATGTTGTTGTTTTTTTAAAGAATCAAATTTGGGTGCTACTGATGTATTTAAGCCAAGCTAAATGTAAAAGTAAAAACAAAAAAGAAAAATCAGCTTCAAATGTAAAATATGTGATGCCAGAATTTGGTGTTGCTAAAGCTGTCCGTGTAACACATACTGATCTGTAACTCCATATACAGCTTAAAGTTGTCTCCCAAGCATGTCATATAAGGAATTGGTGTTTTTACCATGTCACTCTCAAGGGTGCATTAAAAAGGATCCTCTCCTTACCTGTACTATATATATGTTTTTGCTTTGTTAAATCTCCATTATGGCAGTGCCCAGCTCCTCGTGCCCTTTTTTAACAATACCTTGCCTATTAGCCTTGAAAATGGCCAGAATTTACTATCAAAATTTCCCCCCCATAGACTATAATGGGGTTCACTGCTAAGTTTGGGTATTGCAGTTTTCAAGCAGGATTAGACAAACCCCTCTACAAATCGAACCCGGGCAGATTTGCTCATCTTTAATTCTATGTTGTCTCTTCATGTTAAATATTTAAGGGTCTTCAAAGCTGTAAGAGGACATTAGCTTACCTTAGTAGGAGCAACATAAACCACAACTGATTCATTGCTTTGTTTCAGCACCTTCTCCATGCAGTAGTAAGAGGCATAGGTTTTTCCTGATGAGGTGGGAGCCACTATTACAGCAGATTCATAATTGTCAACCACATCAAGGAGTTCCCTCTGACAAACACAAATTACCATATTTAAAGGCGACGTTATCATTGAAATACAGTAAAATATGATACATGTTAAGGGAGATTGCAAAATTTCAATGCTCACTCTAAAGGTGCCCATACACCTTACGACCATCGCAAGACTTTTGTCTCGCGATGGTCGTAAGCTTATTAAAAGCTTGTACGATCTGCCCATCTTGGACAGGCAGATCTTACTTGCGATCATCGAAAGCCCGCCCCGCTTAGGGGCGGGCTTCCGATGACCGCAGTGAGGGGCGGCCTTCAGATCACTGCAAATGGGAAGTGTGCGCGTGCGCACACCGGCCCGTTCGGCAGTTGTCGAACAAGCACCGCCGAGAATCGTACGATTCTCGGCGGGTTTTCAAGCCTGCTTGTTCGACGGAAGACGTGCAACCGTACAGTAGAAACGGTTGCACGCCTTCCATACACTGTATGATCACGGGATTTCACGCGATTCTCGTACGAGAATCGTACAGTGTATGGGCACCTTTAGTCCTTAGTGTAATTATTTCTATCTGGAATGAAATAGTATGGTGCATAATTTAAGGGTGATATAATCTATCTACCAAAGCAATTTACTGCATCTGTGAATCGTTCATGAAATTAAGGTGTCATATCACATAAACTGCCAGTAGAACAGTTGGTTCTCTCGGGTCTCCAACATGCTTCTAGCTGAAGGAAAAGCCTTGCATAGCTGTAGTTTTTTTTCCATCATTAGGAATTCAAATACGCATAGGAAGTACTCATTTATTAGCATTACAAGATTCCTCTGTCACTTTGTTTCCTAGCTGAAAAACCTACAGCAGGCATAGATCATGTAGTTCGTAAAAATAAATCTACAAAATGCAATGCATGACTGGGAGAATCGTTAAAATTCTCAAGGGGGAATTTATCAAAACTGGAGCAGACAGGATCTGGAGCAGTTGCTCACAGTAACCAATCAGCTTTTCTCAGTTTGTTCAGTTGGGCTTTGAAAATGAGAGAAGCTGATTGGTTGCCATGCACAGCTGCTCCAGATTTTTTTCTGCTCCAGGTTTTGATAAATTCCTCTCTCTGTTTTTTTGCAATGCTTTATTCACACATGTAATGTTCTTCTAAGTAAAACTTAATTCAGCATTCCTCAAGATCTCAGTGCTTAATCTTAACACATGACCAACATTGGTTACCTGCCATGTATCTGGTATGAAATGCTGCACTCTCGGGTCACGGTCTTTCCTCTCATCTCTCATCAAGTATGGTCCCATGTATTTCATTTGAAAACGAGCCGAAGCAACTCCAACTCCATAACCTTTTTTTTTATCTTCTGTGCTCTGTACCTGTAAATGTATTTAAATGTTGTTTAATATAGTTGTTGCACTGCATTGAGTCGCTATTTAGAAGATAAAAGCAAATCTTAAAAATTATTGGCCTGATAAACAATGTACTATTATAATTTATGTATATACTGTATTAGCCTCCCTCTTTAAGGGCTTGTTCACACCAGTCACGCTACATCGCAATGCTGATGTGCTAGATTGAGACGCATCATACCGTCTTTTTTTGGTTACAAGTTTATTGAAATGTCACAAGTGACACTTTTACCAAGTTTTATGGGCACACCGTGGTGTGATGCAGTTGTACCGCGCCTTACTGTGGTGCACTGAAAAAAAAAGTACTGCATGCCATACTTTTTTTTTAAAGCACACCACCAGATCGTGGTGGTGTGAACCAAACCCATCCGTGACAGGGAAAATTGCTTTCTGTTCCACGGCCTGTTCACACCTGATGTGTTCGGGCTGTGCTGGGTGTTTATTTCCAAAGAAGCCCGAACGCATCGGGTGTAACCAGGCCCTGAAACATGAGACTGACAAAGCACAAAATTATTGCATAAAGCCAGGGGCGGACCTACCCCCGATGCAGCCGCCCCAGGGCCAAAGGCGCTGGTAGGGGCCCACTGAAGTCCGTCCTGGGGATTGAAGGCAAAGGGGGACCGGACGCCGCATCGGCGATCACGCTTCTCAGGAGGAGAGAGCTGAGAAGAGTGATCGCTGCCTCTTGATCACTGAAGCCGGCACACAGTAGTGACAGCTGTACAGATTCTTCTCCTCCTCGGCGGCTGCAGCCACAGAGCGGCCGAGGGGAGAAGAATCTGTACAGATGTCACTAATGCGTGCAGGCTGCAGTGATCGGTCTGTTGGCGGCCACCTGCAGCTTCCTCCTCCCACTTCATCTGCTATAGGAGGAAGACTGCAGGATCACCCTGGGAGAAGTCTGCTCAAATATGGCTGCACCCCTCCCCCCACCTAGAAAGAGGGCAGATCACATTTGTGGGCACTAAGTTTTTATTCACTCTGCGTCACATCTGCTGACCTCTGCAGCTTGGAAATTACATTTTCAAAATTGATTTAGGTGCGTTAGGTCCTGCACAGCAGCCTTCTGTGGAACCACCCGGCACCTGCTTACAGCTTGTTTGCCGCCCGCACATCTCCCCCTCCTGAGACCCTCTGCACAAGACATCAGGCCGACATTCCAGAGTAAAGAGGCAGCACAGAGTATGTACCAAATTCATATACTATTATTCTGCATTGCTTTATAATGTATTGCTGGGATCTGTAGTCCTCTACAGATGGCATTTTGCATTAGAGTGTAAGCTTCTCTGTACAGAGACTGCTGTGACTGGTTCAGTGTTCTCTATACAGTACTACGGTATATGTCAGAGCTATATAAATGTATAATAGTGTGTGACTATGGAGGGGGACATTAGAGTGTAAGCTCCTTTAGTGCAGAGAGAGCTGGGAGGGGTTAGAGGGCCAGTGAGATCCAGTTCTGGCACACCCCATTGGCAACAGGAAGGAGGGGCCCCGCGAAAAAATCTTGCACCAGGGCCCTGTGTTTCTTAGGTCTGCCACTGCAGAAAGCAAAGGCAGTCATAATGTTCAAATTCCCAACTGTTGCACTTGTCAGGAATTCTGTAGCAGATTACTAGAGTACATTCTTTGCTCTACTTTATAGACAGTGTGAATTTTGCTTCCTTCATATTACCCCATCGGCATTAGTGTCAGTGCATAAATATTAAATATTCCCATCCAATTTAGGTACATTATTTTACCTGCTTCAGGATGGCAAGTTTTAAATTCTTAGAAGAAAAAAAAAATAATACCTCAGATCCCTTCAATGAACAGGACAGGTTCTCAAAACCTAGTAGGCTAAGATAAGCAGCTATTTTGTCCTTATCTGCGCGTTGTAACATATCTTTGTGATTAGCCATGATAGACTGTATAATCTTCATAATTTGCACTGCAATATTCATATCTCTCTGGCCTTCAGCTGAAACAAAGGAAGAAGAAAAAAGTGTACATATAACAGTAGTCTAATCTCAATGATAATAAAATAAACACAAAAAAGACAACTGCCCTGACCAACTACAAAAGCATGCACTACTTTTTTTAATCGCACCACAACACACAGTATTGCATATAGTTCTATGGAAACTCAAATTATGTTGTGCGATTCGTTTCGAATTGACATTCGTGCAAATTTCTGCATATTCAGATATTTGGATGCATCTGAATAATGATGGGCTGAACACACCTGAGTTCGGTTCTAAGTGGAACTTTCGAACATGGAAAAAGGTCTAACTCGAACTTAGAACTCAGTGTAAGTCTATGGGACCAGAACTCGGAAAATCAATTGCCCCCATTTTGAAGGCTTATATGCAAGTTATTAGCTATAAAAAAATAATACTATACGCAGAGTACTGTATATAGCACTAACACCAGTTAGCTTACACTACCCCTAACTCTATTTTTAACAACAGCATTACACTACATAAGGCTGCGGTGTAAGTAGCCTTATATAGTGTGGGGCTGGAACGTAGCTGTGAGCCATGATTGGGCAAACTCATCATTTGCCCAATCATGGCTCTTACAATGCACTGTGCCATGATTGGGCAAAGTTTTGCACTTGACCTGTGGCCAGGTGCATTGCTTTACCCAATCAGGGCTCTCACAAGGCACTGTGCAGGCACTCTTCGCCGAACACACGAACTAGCAACGTTCGACTCGAACATCAGAATGGAACAAAGGAGCGGAGAGCTGCGACAGCTGTCCGCCTCTTTGTTGACATTCAGAATGCTCCGGAATGTCATCAAAGAGGCAGAGAGCCGTTACAGAACGCAGAAAAGTGTTTAACTGTTGACAGTCCACAGAAAAAAGAAAACACAGCATGTGGTTCCCTCTGGCATTTCATACCAGACCCTTTAGGTCTGGTAGGAATTATAGGTGGCACCCCAAAGCCAAAGAAAAAAGCGTGGGGTCCCCGCTAAAATCCCTTACCGGACCTTTGAACTGAGCAGCAGCCTGGCTCAGCATTAAGGGAGCACAGAGATCCCACCCCTCCTCAAAAATTAGTAAGGGGTAATAGTCATCAAATAAACAGCAAAATAGTAAATGAAAACACTACACTGTAGAAAAAGTTGTTTTTTTTGTGGGGGAAAAAAATAAAAAAAGGTCTTTGGTGATTCCTTTATTAAAGGTGAAAACAAAAAAGTTCTCCCTCAGGTTCGATTCTCTGCTGATTGACATCAGGCAGTGGGCGGAGCAACAGCCATCCTGCTTTTGGCTATTTCAATTAGCCAATAGCAGGCTTTGTTTATTTCTCACCCACTGCCTGATGTAAACATTTTGTCGAGCGGTGATTATTTAATTCTTATAAGCACCCCCGCCCACAAGTACCAGGCCTGGGTTGTGGGGAAGAGGCCCTTGCCCTCATCGAAATGGGGACAAGGTGCTTTCTCAGGGGGCCCTCCCTGCCAAAGTACCCTCCCAATGTCAAGGGCATGTGTCCTAGTATGGTATAGGGGGGGGGACGCGCAGGGATTCTGTGGGAACCTTTTTTTTAAATTGTCGTGGGATACCCTATAAAATTCCTACCACATCTAAAGGGTCTGGTATGACTTGCAGGAGGGATTTGCACACAGTTTTTCTTTGTTTCTGTGGAATGTCAATAGTTAAAAAGAAAAAATTTAATGTCACAATTGTGTTTAACTTATCCAAAATTTCGTATGCGTCTGAGTCCAAATGCTGAAACAAATTGACTTTCAGACCTGAATCCCAAAATACACAAGAAGTCAACATCAGAGACAAAAGGAAATGAACCAAAACAAATTTGTTGCTGGCACACAAGTCTATTAAAGACTACGTAGAGCTGGAGCAATTGGAAGGCGAGTACAAGCAGCAGACAACACATGCCATTAATATTGCATGGTCAGAGACATATAAATCATGCATTAATGTCCTACACCCAAGTATTTATTCAGAAATGCTGTTTATAGTATAGACAAAGTCCACTAATCATGCAATATTGTCAATTTTTTATATTTGGTCAATTCATTTACAATACATAATGTACAGTAAAATACTTACACACAGTTTTGCAGTGTTGAAGCCATATTTCATAACACATGGTTAATGCCTCCATCTGTGCCTGATATCTGACGGTACATGTCTGCAGAAAATTGATTGATTTTTCCAACTGTGATATTCCAGAGCAGAAATTTTCCCTGAGTCCTTTTTTCAAAGATGAGGTCAAGGTTTTCCATTGTTGTTGCTCTTTGTTTTCTTCAACGGCCTTGCTCTTTCTTATATTCTCCTCTATTATTTGATCCTTCTTTTTCACCTGAGAAAAAAAAATACTTTTACATGTAGCCAAAGATTGGGTGAATTAAATTGGTGTGAATTGCTTACTTACGTCTTATATTTTGCTGCCTGTGGACCACTTTATAGAGTTCACAGCTCTGCTTCCTTACTATGAAGTCTCATATTTTTCTTCAATTAAATACAAAGTAACATTTAGAGAGTGAGACTGACTTGTAGTGAATACCACTGGAGAAATGGACCAGGGAACTCAAGTGTAGAGTACTCGCTGCTGGAATCCCTGAGGGATATAAGATGCTGCGGCAGGCATTACTGTCAGAATACACATGCTTACACCAGAAGATTTGTCCATCCATACTGTTCAGTGTGAATGGAGGAATCAGTTGTAATTTTTTCGGTCAGCCCAGTGTATACCCTACTTTAGAGATATAGGGATTGATTTACAAAAGGCAAATATTGAACGAAGATCTGGTGACTTCCATCATCTAATTGTGTGCAAGCAAAAATACTGCAGGGGTTAACTGCTCGTTTTGATGGGAGGAAAATAAAGTTACTCACCCGATCCTCCAAGCTGCCGGCTGTGACAGCGCTCCCTCCAGCCTGTCATGTCTCTTGGTGTCTTCTTCATGATAGAGATATATATAGGTATATAGAACGTGATGACACAGGGACCTTAGACCGCTGCAGCGGAGGAGACTTAAAAAAGGACTGGTCGATAGCAAGCTAGCTTCAAAGATCAGGTGACTATAAACTTTATTTCTTTGGACCAAAACAAGCAGTTAACTCAATGCTGTGCAAAAGTAGCCATGCAAGGGTTAATAAAAAATTTTGCCTGGAGTTCCTTAATGCATTGTGGAATCATAGTGTGAGAAGTTCTATGGATGAGAGCAGAGGGCACAACACTACAGATCAGATGGTGACAGACTCCTCTCCCTGCATCCTCCCACAGTGCTGCCCAATGTAACATCCAGCAGTTTTGAAGGGAAATTACAATTGTTGACAGAAGTAGCTGCTGCAAGTAAAGGGATACACAAATCTTGTGATAAAGTTATCCAATACATTCAGCAGTAGAAAAAGTAAATAATTTAGTCTGCTTGTGCAGAGAATAAATCACAAATCTTGGGGAGCAGGTACAGGTAGAGACAGGTGAAACAGTTTAGGTCTCACCTTAGGTTGCAATACATTACTTATATGGGCTAGCTTGGTATGGGACATTGCTTCTAACAGTATATCAAGATCATATAAGAAAATGTGTTTCCTCAGATGGCTGCTCATGTGTTTAGTGACACATTCCCAGAGGTCCCATGTTAGGTCACTTAAAATGCATGGGAGTGCTACATTGGCCAACAGAGCAAACATGCTTGCATGCACGTCTCACTGGTTAAATTTACAGAAGTTTCTTATACCCTGCAGGATTCTCTTGCAATATGCACCCCTCTTAGACAGCATAACATCCCCTACTACTTTTTCTTGCAATGTGACAAACTTTATTACAATACAGTCTTTTGTCATTTTCACCTCCCTCTGGGAATACGACAGTCTCTTGCAATGTGATGTTGTCCTTTGTAATATGCGTAAAACCAATATTAGTAGAAATGTTTGTTTGTAAAGTAAATATGTTATACAAAAATAAATAAAAAACATGACAAGTTTATAAGCATGGAAACATTTTACAAAAGGTGAGATAAAGGTTTCTTTTTATTTGTGAATCGGTATTTGTAATGCAATATCTTCAGGATACTCACAAGAGGTTTTTTCTTAGTCGCAGGAGCTTTGTAAGCACTCTTTTTCTCTTCTGGTTGATCATTCTGCACTATGATTTTTTTCAGTTTTTTCACCCCTAACGTCTGACCATATCGATAGTTGTATGCCTGGTACTTTTGGTAACCTCTTAATGCTTTTTTGTCTTTTAGCAAGTCTGTCAAAAAAGCATGTTTCAAAATTATTAGTATATTGATTTGTGCAAGTACAGATTCAAACAAAAATGGTATGAATTCAATAGCAAGGGCTGTCTGTCAACTTTTCTGACTGCAAATGCATTATTATTAGTATTGGTTTTGTTGTTCATAAGGCACTGAAGTGATTTTATTTTTGCAATAATTTTTGCCTTTTGTAGAAAAATACCAAAAAATTAAGATGTGCTAAAATGTCAGACATTTCTGCATCCTCTTTCTATGTCCACTTGGATGTCATAGTGTTTCCCCGAAAATAAGACAATGTTTTATATTTTTTTTGCCCCCCCAAAAAAAACACACTAGGTCTTATTTTCAGGGGATCTTTTTTTTTTTAATGTGCAACAAAATATACAACAATCTAAAGTTATCTGGTATAACTTCGCCTATTACAGTAACTGGCGCTATAGAGGATGTATCGGCTAATGCGGCTCTGCTCCCTCCGCCGCCGCAGCCTTGCTTTCTACAGCGCCGCCTTCCTTTGCTATCAGGGACAGTGGTACCAGCGGTGCAGCAGTGGGGACATCAGACAGTGGACAACGCGGTAAAGTACAGTACCATTTACCGTTACACATTACAGTACCGTTACATTAAGCAGTGCCTTCAGGGGGACAGCAGTTGGTGAAGTATTGTACTGGAGTGCTCCCTGTCACTGTGCTGGCCGGAGGGAGTCCCCTTTTATCGCCTTAATACAGTATGTCCATGCAGGCTGATAACCCAAAAATAAGACCTAGTTTGGTCTTATTGAAGAGCAGGAGAGATGGTAGGTCTTATATTACAGGAATCTTGAAAAAAAAAGTGCTAGGTCTTATTTTTGGGGAAACAGGGTAGCACTCTGCACTTCTGGTCACCACTATCCTCTTCAGCAGGAGTACTGTATAGCTTTTTTCCCAGTAAAAATAATTACAAATGTATCTAATGGAACAGAAAATGTTAGAAATATGGTAACAAATAAGCTAAAATAGAATATATGGGTTCACACCTTAGTGTATTGGAAACTCGCGGCAAAC